TGACTATCTTAAGAATAGGTTTGTAATAAAAGCCAGTTTGTTTCTGTTTCTTGGATGTACCCTTTGCAGTATGATGCTTTATGTCACCTTAGGACTCTGAAGAGTACCCTCCAGCAAGAAGGCCTTCATCAGATGTGTACCCTCACCTTGAATTCTCCTTCCATAATTGTATGAAATAAATTTTTCTTCATAAATTATTTAATATTAGTATTAGGGTAGGCCCCAAAAGGCTACAGTTAGGTTCCCTCACCAAGACTTCCTGTGGGCTATTTTATGTTTTAAGTATATAACCAGAAATCGCTTGTTATTGTTAGTCAAGGCCAGAAATACTCTGATTCACTGGGTATACTCAAGGTCATGCCTCCAATATGTAACCTGTTGGCTTTGTGCCCCCTTTGTTTGGCCTGTACATTAAAAAGTGTCAATGTAAAAGACTTAGGGACTAATGGTAAAATGGGGGCAAAATGGAACTGGCTGGGTGCTAAAGCTCGAAGTTGGAGGCTGGAGCCTATGACCACCACTGAATAAAGTATGTCTACTATCCTAACTGCATCTTGCATCTTCTTCCACCTGCCAGGCTCCAAATCTTGTTTCCTGGGCTACAGCCCCTGCATTAGAGTTAGCATCATGAACAGGAGAGTGTAGCTCAGTGGTAAAGCACCCTTGGGTTCATGGTACCGAAAAGCAAACAAACAAACAAGCAAAAACCCCAAAAGGTATCTGCAGACTAGGAGAAAATATATTCAAAATATATATGTAATTAATAAGGAATTTATACAACTGGATAGCAGAAAAAAAGAAAAAAAAGCACCAAATAACCTAATGGTTATTTAAAATGGGCAAATGACTTTAGTAAATATTTCTTCAAAGGAAATACACAAATGGTCCATAGACATATGAAGAGATGCTACACATTATTAATTATGAGGGAAATGCAAATCAAAATCACAATATATCACTTTATGCCTGCTAGGATAGCTATTGTTTTGTTTTAAAGTAAGTGTTGATAAAAGATGTAGAATAAAGGAAAAGCTTGTACACTATTGTAGAAATATAAATTGGTATAGCCATTATGGAAAACAATATGGCGTTTCCTCCAAAAATTCAAAATAGAACTATCATAGAATTAGCAATTCAGCAATCCTTCCTCTCAATATATAGCCAAAATATATTGAAATCACAGTCTCAAGAATCAGGAGAATATTTGCATCCCCATGTTTACTGTAGCAGTGTTCACAATTGCCAACATATGGGGAAAAAAAATCTTAGTATTTATGGATGAATAAATAAATAAACAAACTGTGATACACATACAGAAGAATATTATTCAATCATAAAAATGAAGAAAATTTTGCAATTTGCAATAACATGGATAAATCTGGAGGACTAAGTAAAAACAAGCCAGACAATGAAAGACGAATACTATAGAATCTCACCTATATGTGGAACCTAAAAACTGTTGAACTCATAGAAGCAGAGGGTAGAACAGTAGCTGGAGATTGGGTGGCAGAAATAGGGAAATGTTGGTGACTATAGTTAGTATTGTATTGTTTACTTGAAATTTGCTAACAGAGTATACCTTCTTACTATACACATAAACGCTAATGTGACTGTGTGGTGATGAATGTGTTAATTAGCTGATTGTTGCAACCAGTTCACAATGTATATGTATCTCAAATCATCATAGTGTAGACTTTGAATACATATATTTTTGTCAATTATACCTCAATAAAATTGGAAAATACTAAAATTAATTAAAAAATACTTTTCTTTCCAACTGTGCAAGACATTATAATTTCAACTCATAATATCTTAACAATATTACCAATGAGATATTTCACATTGTAAAATATTCTACATCATGCTAAGTCTTGATATCTTCTATATATCTTATGCTCACAGCATATCTCAATTCAGACACTACTTCTTTTATTTGGTCTGTATTTGATTTTTTAAAAATTATATTTGAAAAGTAGATTCATAAAACTTACATTTCCCAAACATACTTGGAAATCCCTAATAACTGAATTTAATTGTTTTTAAATTAAAGTTAAATACAATTACAATTTAGTTATTCAGTTGGACTAGCCATATATCAAAGACTTATTTGGTCATTACATTTGGGTAGTGCAGTTCTAGAATAAGTGTGTAAGTTTAGGTAAAATCTCTAGCTTGACATTAATATTAACAAAAATCAATTCAGTGAACAAAATATCAAGTTGGTAATGGCGTACTAATATTGGATATTATAGATTACCTTTAATCTCTTTCTGTTGGTTCATACCCACTCAGAGTTGATAAAGCTAGAAGAAATAATGAGGTTATCCAGAAAAGATCCTGTAAATAGCAAGGAGACTGAGGTTAACTGGAGGAAGATTAGACTTCATGATATGAAAGAAAAAATTTCTCAATACTTAACTCCTTCTAGACTTTATCCCTAATACTGAAGGAAATAGATTCAAATGGTGGATAGATTTTGGAAGAGGACAGAGAGAAGGTGCCTGGTCATTATGGAAGTGGATAGTTCTGTTACTTTTTCATCACGTTCAGCCAAAAAGCATCCACCACAACAAAACCAAAAATTATAAAGTAAATGTTTCTGCATTTTCTGAAAACAACAAAACTTTCTTTTGTTCTACTTAGGCAAATGTATAAACATGTTTCTTTGATAAAGTCATAAGTAAAAATCTGTAAGATTATTCACTACATTTTGAAGAGCATATTTCACAAGTGCTTCTTATTTTATGACCTAGAACTCCTCTTGCAATATCCAGAAAGGATTCTCCATTGATCAAGAATGTTCCATCATTTATTTATCAAATCTTCTTTCAGTAATTATTTTCTAGGCAATTTGCTAGGCAAAGAAAGAGTTGTATGAAGACAGGTACTGGTTGTGATGAGAGCTCTCTTGAGTAGGGTTGCTAGATTTTGTAAATAAAAGTAATTCCAAATCTTGCATGGGACGTACTTATATTAAAACTTAGTTGATATTTATGTAAACTTCAAATTTAACTTAGCATCCTGTCTCATGTGGCAAACCTACATTAGATGAACAACTTGGAAGTGGAGGTACAGTGGTTGGAGAAGAAAGGAAGGCTTCCTTCAGGAAGTAATTTCTAAAGTGAATCCTGGGAATAGTAGAGAAGAGGCAGGGAAGAACCTTTTGGATAGAAATACAGAAATGCAAACTGAGTCCCAAGGCCACTGTAGTGAAGGAACTGCTTTCAGCTCCTTAGTACGCCATTTTACTTCTTTAAGTAAAAACTGGGGTGAGGAATGCTGAGAATATGATGCCTGAGGGAAAAATAGGAGCCTTACCTTTCAGGATTTTGTAAGCCTTTTAAGGAGTTAGCACTTCAAGGTAAGATTAGTGAGATTACATATGCTAACGAACTCTAAGCAACTCATTTTGGCTACCGTTTGAATGGTACCAGTTAGGAAGCTACTGAGATAATTTTGGTGAGAGTGAATTAGGGGCCTGAACAGAGAGGCAGTGGGAAGACAGGTTCACTAGCTCACACCTCAACTGGAGACTGCAGAGAAGGAGACAACTACAAAGAGGAATAGAGAAGAGGGTTGAAACGGAGGAAAACCAGAAGCAGCACGTATTAGGGAAAACACTGAAAAAAAGAGTCGACAAGTCAGTTTTACTTATGTATTTATTTATTTATTTTTGAGTAGTCAAGTAAAAGAAGTGACTAATGGATTTTGCCAAAAGGAAGTCACCAGTGACCTTTGGCAAAGTCAGTCTCAGGGGAATGGTTGACATCAAAGGAAGTCGCAATTGTTTCAGTACATGATGCTGGCCTGGGAAGCCCGTTAGATTCAAGAATGTCAATTCTTCTCTGCCCTTTTAACAGTCGGTCGAGGGTGAAGGACAGGAGTAGAGTTTGGAGATGGAGCGGCCAATTCTCCAATCAGGTGGAACAGCGCGGCAAGCTGATCGCTAGGGACCAATCCTTTCCTAGAGGCCACTTGACTGACAGAGACAAGCACCAAAGACTGAGCGCACAACGGGAGGCGACTCACAAAGGGGCGGATTCCAGGGCACTAACCCGGAACCGGTTTGGGATTCGATTCCCATTGTGAGGCCTGGCCTGAGGCGGGCTCTCGCCCAGAATGGTAGTGCCCTTCGGACCAATGGATGAGCCGCATCTAATGAGCGGCATGTACTCCAGCCAATGGAGGGAGTGAGAAGTTGGTGGGCGGGGAATTAATGAAGCGTCCCTTTTTTACCACCCTTAGAGGCGATCTTGTGGAGGTGCTGCCAGGGTCGCAGGTGAGCAGTACGGTGCGGGAGGAGACAGCGAGGGTGACAGGCTCCACGGACAGTGGGTGTCCTCGCATGGGGGGAGGGTCCCGGCGGGGTCAGCGGCAGGTTGCGTCTCGCCGCTACCAGCCTCTGACCCTGGCTTTGCAGCGTTAGCGGGACTACAACATTTGAAAGAAGTACCTAGCGCGGCTGTCCCTGATGGGAGAGGGTTAGAAGGGCCCAAACCCCTGAAACAAGGTTGCGGAAGTTTCTGAACACCCAAATCGGGACTCCCATTAAATATTCGGAGAAAGGAATCCTTTTCCAAGTTGCCCCGGCTCTCACCAGGTGCAGCCGCATCATGTGGCTGAGTCAGGTGCGCGCCCCCTGTTCCTGGGTGGCCTCGCGGGAATCCTGTACTGGTTTCTTCATAGGGGGTGTTTACTGAGCAGTCCCGCAGGAGGCGGCAGCTTGGAGCAGGTGAATGATACTTTGGTGACTCTTTTCTAAACTCGTTTACCTACAAGTTTTAAAGAAGAACGTACTATTCGGCAGGGAAGTTAATTTCCTATAAGAACATTGGGGGGCAGGAATCATACTTTAAAGAGGATTGGGGTGGACATTGAGGGAAGTTTTGTAGGTGTATGATACTTTTCTTCTCCAATTGCTTAATGAATTTACCCTTTCATTTTTTTTTTTAAACGCAGATTTTACTGCCTGATTTTTCTCAGACCTCTTAATTATGTCTTATCATGCAATATAGGAACGGAACTTCATTCTCAATTGTTAGTCCTTGTTAAAAATTGCCTGTTATAATATTGTTTTGGTGGTGCGTCATCTGCATGAGGATTACGTAAGTGAACTGCATATTATTCCTATTTCCTGACAGTAAAGAATGATTGTGAGATGGGATTTCAGGAAAATGACTGTTCTCTGTGATTGTACATTACAGGTCTATAAGTTTTAAAGATTCCAACTATTGAATTCCCTCCTCTGAAGATGGGGATGGCAATCAATTAAAAATGGGATGGCATTTTATGGGATGTTATATTCGGTGTCTAACACATAGTAGGAACTTAATAAATATATATATTTTTTGATGGCAGAAAACCCAAGCTTCCAAAATATAAAGAAGACAGAAAGATATCCATTCCTGAAAACATAGCCTTTATGTGTGTTAGCAATAACAACACAATATGCACTGAGGCTGGCACTTTTTTTTTTTTTAACTTAGAAAATGTCAAGCTTTCATGCAAAGGTTTTTTTCACACAATAAGCCAAGACTGTCAGGAAGTCTAAGATGTGTTCCAATATTGGTTTTGATGAAATAGTTCATTAGCTCAGCATAGATCACTCATGGCTTTGCAGCGTTAGCGGTACTACAACATTTGAAAGAAGTACTTAGCGCACTAAGTAGTACTAAGAAGTACTTACTGTCCCTGAAGGGGCACCACATTAGAAGCTAGAAGTATGGAGATAGAAATTCTTGGGAAAAATATGAAAATGGCAACAACTGTTGTCAATTTTGACAATGACTGTTGTCAAAAAATATATTGACTTGGTGGTAAAAGCACTGCTATTTCTGCTGTTCCAATAAATTTATACCAAATTGATGAAATGATCTCAGATTCTAAGAGCAATAAAACCTGATGGTGGTTATCTGCATAAATTAGGATTCTCTTGACAATTTCAGTCATTGTTTATCATATATTTGTTCTTATAGTTTGTATAGTATTATAGTAATAGTGCCTCCATATAAAAGGTAACCCTGAATTTCAAAAAAATGTGAACTTTCATAGTTATATTTGTCTTGTTCAGTACATTTTCTGATCAAAGTTCAGGGTGTTATTAAACCAACATTAAAGATTAGCTGATATTTGGCCCCGACCTAGTTTCTTAGCTTTAATTCCTGATACCTTCACCTTTTTTCATGTCCCTCATTAGTCTATTCATGTATAAGACCCACATCAAAAGCTAATTCCTTCTCAAAACCCTTTTTGATCCCATCGAAGATTTCTCCTTCTGGATATTCAGGGTATTTTGTTAGTACTTCTTTATTGTACTCTTCATATATTAGCATTAATCTTCAGTAAAGAAACAGTTGCTTACTATGTCCAGTTACTGTACTAAGAGGTAATGATAGTACATATTTCTTGTGGGCTTACTATATCTTTGTCATTATAAACTTCTTAATTGCATTTTCTCTCTTTTTTTTTTTATTGGTTGTTCAAAACATTACAAAGCTCATGACATGTCATCTTTCATACATTTGACTCAAGTGGGTTATGAACTCCCATTTTTACCCCAAATACAAATTGCAGAATCACATCGGTTACACATTCACATTTTTACAAAATGGCATATTAGTGACTGTTGTATTCTGCTACCTTTCCTATCCCCTACTATTGCATTTTCTCTTTTAAATCTTAAAACATCATGAGTCATATTATTATTTCCATTTATAGATGAGGAAACAAGTACAAAAGGTTACTTTGCTTGTCACAGAGCTATTAAGTGGTGGAATTGGCATATAAGCCTATGTAGTCTGTATTCATGACCTTCACTTTGCCAGATTCATTATAATTTTTTATGTGCATTTCATTATGCATCTATGTTTTACTAATTTCACTAGATTGTAAATTATTTGACAACAGGAGTAATATATTTAGCTTTGATTTCCTGTTGCCTTTAATGTAAAATAAGTGACTGTAGTATAGTCTGATAGTAGAAGTATATGGCAAGAACATTGGACTTATGTGAATGAGAACAGAAAAGTGCTCTAGAACAGGAGACATTTAAATTGAGTTCTAAAGGATGAGTAGACATTTGCTAGACAAAAGGGCAGACACCATGGGAGTTGGGGAGATGGGCTAGAGAACACAACTGTGATAGTCCTCAAATAAATAGGGATCATGACAGAGCTGTGGTGTCCAGTGTAGTAGTCAGTATCCACACGTTGTTGTTGAGTACTTGAAATATGGCTAGATTTAAAAAGTGAAGTATAAAATACTGACTGGCATTTGAAAAGTATGTAAAATACCCCAGTAATTTCTTAAATTGATTACATGTTGAAAGGATAACATTTAGGATATATTGCGTTAAATAAAATAGAATTCATTTTTACATGTTTCTCTTTACTTTTTTAATGTGGTTACTAGAGGATTTAAATTTATATATAGCTCTTATAATTTCTATTGGACAACACAGTTCTAGAATTTAGAGGAATATTATAACTGGCACTGATTTCATGTGGACTGTGCCTACACGTTTGTTGGAGAAAGTGGGTTGGGGGTTGGTATTAGGGTGATGGTTAAAATTGGAAAAGGTAAATATGATGGTATGTTGGTAAGACTCCATAATGAGTTTATAACAGGAAGAGAGGAGGAGCAAGGTAAACAAACTTAGCTCTTAAGTGCAGTAGAAAGCCTTTGAAAGGCTTTTAGGGACTCTACATATTTGATAAATGAAGCAGTATTTCTTAATTATTCAGTCTGATAATGGATATTTCAGATTTATATTCTTAAGTTAGTCATAATATTTTCTAATAAAGATATGGGTGTCTAAAGACATTCTTCTTATAAGAATGCTTTATTCTCAGAAGAGTAGTCTGTTTCTTAAGTCTAAATTGACTTACCTGTATTGGTTGAAGTGTTTCCAATAAATAGAGGTGTGAATTGGTTCTTATGATTCGGAGACATTCTTCTGGCTTCTGACATAACATTATGTCAGTCATTCCCCCCACCCCTCAAATAAACTGACTTTTTCTACCTTGTAAGTCTTTTGTGGTAGGTGAGTTTTTCCTCAATGATCTCTGAAAAGAAATTTCTTAGCAGTAATAGCATTTGTACTCCTTGCTTTTCTGTATATGTTTGAACAAGTAGGTTTTTAACACTGATTGTCTAAGCAGGATTGTTCTCAGTTTTGTCTGCCAATGAATATTACCTAGAGATCTCTTTAAATTCTTAATGCCTGCCTCTATTGCAAAAAATTGTTTTATATGGTCAGAGATGGGGATTGGTCATAGATACTTTGAAAAACTCCTTAGGTGATTGATTGTGTGTGTATGTGTGTGTGTGTGTGTGCGCGGGCATGTGCCCATTTGCTACTAGGTAAATGGATGTGGCTAGTACAAAGTAAGTTGTACCTGTAACTATTAAATTCATACTGGATTTTAGAAACAGTGAAAAAACAAGAATGGAAATGGAAATATTACTCAGTAATTTTGTATTGATTACATAATACAATGATAATATATTGAATATATGGTGTTAAATAAAATTTGTTAAAATCAATTGTACCTCTTTGTTTTATTTTTACTGTAGCTACTAGGAAATTTTAAATTATATGCATGGCTCACATATTTTATTGGTTACTATAAAGAGAGGAGGAGCAAGGTAAGCAAACTTAGCTCTTAAGTGCAAACTTAGCTCTTAACTTAGTTAAGTTGTAGTCCTAGGACCAACAGTATCACATGCTATTATAAACATATATGATTTTTCTGGAAAGAATCTTAAGAAATTATTAGTTACATTGCTGGTAGGGAGACTTTAACTTCATTTTGTACCATTACTTAGATTTTTTAAACATATATGCATATTTTTACTTTTTGTATCAATAAATTTGTAAGATATATATTTGTGAGACTTAAAATATCTAATTTTCTATAATAAAAATCCCTCATAAGTAGATTTTTAACATAATTTTAATCTCCTCATAGTAAAATATGCCATGGGCTAACAAACAGTCACATGGTTAAAGCAGTGATGACTTATACACATGATCCTTAGAGCCAGTAATGGTGGTGGACAGAGTTGGTGAGCTTGCTGTCTAGCACAGCATGTTTTGCCTCTGTGAATATGTGCACAAATGAACATGTATATATACATTTCCTTTCCCACTTTTGTTGACTTGTATTAACTATAGTATCCATACAGGGATGACGATACGCTAATGCTGTGTCTATAATAATATGACATGGTGCATATAGTTCATCATGCAACATAGTATTTGGTTTATTCATGCAGTACCCTACTGATGAATGTTTTTACTTTTACCTTAAAAATGTAATAGTTCAAGAAACTATTTAAATACTCTGAAACAGTCTGTATCTTTTAGAAACAAAAAGTCATTCTTCTTACCACATTTTAGATAATTTAATATGGAATTGGATGTCACTTTAGCTCTCTGTTCTATTTTTAGGATATCTAACCTCTGATCCCATTTTTCAAAATGTCTTTTATAACCTGCTTATACTCAGTAGATACCCCTAGGAAGCAAGGTAGTCTGTATGCTGAAAAAAAATTTCAGAATTTTTTTAGCCTATTAACTGTTAAATTCTTTGGCATGGTTATGAGGTGAGTAGTTTAGTACCTAATGTCTTCACTAACTGATTCTTGCCTATATTGACTTAGATTGCCTTCTTCCCTTAATATTATGCTTTTTGTACCCGTGGAAATTTCAGTTTTTCTTTCTTACCTTCTTTCATTTATTTTCTGTTTTTTTTTTTTTTCTTTTCCCATCTGCTGAGCACGTTCTTTTAATTTTATATTTTTTACATCCTCCTAATTGTTAGGCATACTACCATGTATTGAAGATACTGTCTTTGGAGCAGGTAGACTACCCTCTTCCAGGTCCTCAGTGGTGGGACAAATGATGAAAAAAGGAAAAGGCCAAGTTTGACTTCAGTAATTCCTTTGAGTTATCTTTCAACTTAGTGTACCAAGAAGCAGCAAACTGAGGCTGGGTTAGTGATGTATGTCAGTTTGCTTCATTTCTTTTATTGTGCACTATAAACATGGTACCTCATGAGCATTTTCAGTCTCCTCTAGAGGAAAGCTGAATACTTACCCATCCTATTAGATAGCTTAAATTGAAAAAGGAATGTTAGGCTTGTTAGGCCTGAGTGCTAGTTAAATATGATTCTCTAAAACTATTTTCTAAAATGTTCACTAAATTTGCTTGGGATCTAATGTTAAAACATACCATTTCCATTTCTTTCATCTTATTAGTGGATATTATTTGATATGTGCAAATATTGTAGCCATAGTGTTCTAAAACTGATATTTTGGCTGATTTTTAGCTCCCAGCATGACACCTGTGAAAATAGAGTTGAGATGTACACATTTGGCATTTGTGAGCTTTCATGAGTAGGCTCCATAATATCACATATATATATTATAAAGCATATTAATAAAGAACCATAGACCTCCCATTCAGCTTACCTGGAACAATACCAATATTGTGACCTCTGTTTCATTTTGTCTTTGATGTAATAAAGTTTAAAAGCTTTTAATAGTGCTTAATATGCCAGTAACTGTTCTCCATATTTTACTAAATCTTTTTTTTTTTTGCTTGTATTGTCTCTGAAACAACATTATCATCATTATTTTCCAAATAAAATTGCATACAAAGAGCTTAAAGGCCCCCCACCTACGAAGTGGTAGATCTAAATCTAATCCCTGGATTCTGACTCCAGAATTTGTGTTTATAACAACTATAAATACTGTCTTTTTTAATGATGTTTTAATTTATTAGTATATTTTCTTATATTCTTTTGACAAAAGGCTTAGATTTGACTGAAAGGCTAGCATATACGTAGAATAATATTAAGCATGCTGTCACTGATTATATTCCAATTTAATGGATTTTAATTTATCAGTAAATGTCTTTGAGAAATTCTGTTTCAGACATAGTTTGCTTGCAGTCCTGTTTTTGTTTTTATATACTTTGCTCTTTTTTGTGTTTGTGGAATTGACAGTTGATTTTTTTTGAGAGTACATTTTCTGCTGTTTAGAATTTTTCATTCTCTCTGACCTCTATTTCAACAGCAAGTGGCCATTCAGGAAATGATTATTTCACATGAGTGAGTAGAAACAAAAAGATAGGGTGTTTGGCATATATTTGGTGATTTTTCTAGATACACACAAAGCCTGTGGAACAAAGATTACCGGAAACTAGAAAAGATAAAATATGAATAAAAGTTTGATGAAATGGAAATAAATGCTGTCTTGGTAAAGTTTAAGAATGAGGAATTAGCAACCACTTTTAACTGTAAAAGAGTATTCAAACAGTAAAAGAAAAGATTTTTGTGTATTTTTAAAATTTAACCTTATTTGTTTATTTTTGCTTTAGTAGAAGGTACTATTTCCATTATGAATTAGTAGAGAAATATTTTTCACATCAATAAAAATTTAAAACTGGTAGTCATGAAAGTGTTTGAGAAAAACCAGGTTAAAAGGTAAACTGAGATATAATAAAATTTTTTAAAGTTTATTTGAGGAAACAGTGGTTTATAAATTGGGCAGCTCCAAACTAGGAGTGTTTCAGTGATTCTGCAGAGGAAGTGCCAGGAGAAGGCTTTTATAGAATGAACATGGAAGTAAAGCAATGAAAATATTTGATTCATTACATTTATATGGTTGCCTCCATCATTCTATAACCATAAGTTGGCTGCTTCTGATTGGTTGGCCTTAGTTTGTTTTTTTTTTTTTGTTTTGTTTTTTGTTTTTAATGTGGCATTTACAAGAAGTAGCCCAAGTATTTCACTTATATTTGCAAATCAAAGGAAGGTCACTTAGGAGATCTAACTGATTACTTTGTTCAGGGATTCTTCAGGCCTTCTCTCCATTTTTATTTACTTTAATACATGACAGGGAAAACGTAACTGGTTGAAGTTTGGAGTTTTTCTGCTTATATATGGAATTTATCTGGACATTCCACATAGATAGGAATCTGTTCCTTTTGAAAATCTGCTAAGTGGTATCTCAAAATTCATCAGCAACACATTTCTGATTTAGCTGTCACAAGCTGATAATTAAGTTGAAGTAGATGTGACACAGAGAACTCGGATATAAATCCTGTCATTTAAGTAGCTGTGTGCAAATTAACCTTTCAATTTTGTTTTAAAAATAGAAATAACTGGTATCTTTAATACAGTGCTGTGGTGGGGACTAAATGACAGGATTTGGAACTTTATAAGTATTTGGTATTTTTTCTTCATAATGTCAGGAAAGGTTTATAGTCAGGCAGTGAGAGAGTTGGAAAGGTCTTTAGCAATCTCATTCCATCCTCTCATTATGTAGGCTGTATTCTATGGCAGTATTCGTTGAGTGAATTTGAAGTCAGAAATATAGTTTTATAAGTATTGCTTGTTCTTTCAGTCATTGTTTTCCTTTACATACTTTTAAAAATCAAATAAGAGATTTTCTAACCTTTATTCCTCTCTCTTTTTTTTTTTTCAGTTAAACCAATATTTATAAAGCAGTATGTGCTACATTATACAAGGCACTTGAACCTTTTTAGTAGATGGTTTCATTTTCTGCCTCTAGGAAAAAAAGTGAATTCCTGACTCAAGTCTGAATATCTGTCCCAATCTTCTTAATGTACCTTCCCACAATGCAAAGTCTGGATAGCAGAAAAACATTTCCTAGGTCCATTACAATGAGGATTTTGATATACTTTATATTCATTCCACCAACCAATTACTCTTATATCAGACTTGGAATCAAGGTAGGCAAGAGAGCCAGATGTGTGAAACACCCATTTTACTGATTGATATATAGGTCTTGTTCAGAGATTCTCAAACTTCAGCATGTATTGCAGTCTTCTAGAGGGCTTATTAAAACACATTTGCTGGGTCCTACCCCTAGAGTTCCATATTCAGTTAGTCTAATGTGGGGCTAGAAAAGTTGACCTTTTTCAGAAGTTTCAGATACTCTCTTGGATGATACTATAGCATAAACGTCATCTGGAAATTGGAGAAACATTCTGTTTTAGATCTTAAGTGCTTGAATGAGGATTCTTTTTCCTTCAGAATTTATATTGAAATTTTGCCACATGACTATTTTAAAAATTATTTCACAGAGACTGAAAGTATACCTAGTTACTTGCTAAATCACAATGTTTAAACTCTACAATAAAAAGTGGCCAGAATGTTATAAAGTATTGCTGAGAAATTCTCCGAAGAAAATAAATATACCATTCAACCTGGTTTTATTTCATGTTAGATGTTGGGGGTGGGTTGAGGGAATGGGGAGGTCATAGTATGCATTGAGGGACAGAATTAGAGTGGTAAACTAAGAATTGTACCCTAGATCCCCAAAGATTTAGAAATTTAAATTTTTGGTTTTTCTTTTAATCAACAATGTTGTTCTTTTCTGATTAATAGGTGGGATGGCTGAGGAAAAATCTTTACCATTTTTACATTACCCCTTTAATTTGTTGTATCCTTATGTTTTCATTAAGGAAATTTTATTCTCAGTTTACAGATTCTAAAAGTGAGTTTTAATTTTTGAAGTGGTAAAATGTGGATAATTCTTATTTTTTTGAACAGACATTGTCTCAAACCAGTTTCTGAGTTTTATTCATTTTACAGCTTAGACTTTCAGTTTTCCTATTTTCAGTATTCCAAATGGCCCTTTTAACAGATCACCTTATTCATTCAGTGTATATTTGTGTTGTGCTTGCCATATGCCAGAAACTAAGGCCTGAGAAAGTGATGGTGAGCAGAAATATCTTTGTCCTCAAACTTATGAAGTGGGAAAGAGAGTCTCTGAGCCATATTTTAGCAAAAGTACAAAAGTTAAACAAAAGTAGAATAGACTTTATGCTGTTTGACTTACCAAGAAAAGCTTCAATGAAAACATGTTTAATTTGGGGGCTGAAGCATGAGGAATTGAGTAGGCCAAGAAGGAAGCAGTCCATTTTCTAGGCAGAGGGAACAGTGTGTTGACAAAGGCTTTGAAGCAGGGAAAGAACTTGAAAGGAATAGATGACTGAAAAGTCCTGTGTAGTTGGAGACTACAGGTTGATTTAAAGAGAGAAGGAGCTAGAACAGTAGGAAGTGGGTCAAGAGTGCAGCTGGTGAGCAGCCATTGTAGCATTCCAGGTGAGAAGATGGCAGCTGGGATCATGGTAGTATTGGCAAAGATAGAGAAGTAGGCAATTTTAAGCCATAGAATGTTGTAGGTTTTTGTTTCTTTTTAAATTAATGTGGCTTATTGGGGTTAACAGAAGTTGAAGTTTGATCGATTGATTTTACTTTTCTTTTTCCCTTTAGGAATTATTATCCAGCCTGCCTCTACTACTAGATGAGTAGAAAATTGAGTGATTTAAACTAAGTTGCCAACAAGGGTTTGTCCTTGATTCATGTGCTTTGCAGCACTCTTCAAGTTCTTTTCACATTTTCTGTAAAAACTCCATTTAATTAGAAAAAAAATGAAGCAGTTAAAAAGAAAAAGGAAAAGCAATTTTAGTGTTCAAGAAACTCAGACCCTTTTGAAAGAAATTACCAAAAGGAAAGAAGTCATCTTTTCCAAGCAGCTCAATACAACAATAAACGTGATGAAGCGAATGGCTTGGGAGGAGATAGCACAGTGTGTGAATGCTGTAGGAGAAGGAGAACAGAGGACAGGGACAGAAGTGAAAAGAAGGTACCTTGACTGGCGAGCACTTATGAAGAGAAAGAGGATGAAAGCGAACATTAAGCTGGTTGGATCGGGGTTTCCACTTCCCACATCTGATTTAGATGACTCTCTTACTGAAGAGATAGATGAAAAGATTGGATTCCGAAATGATCCAAATTTTGATTGGCAAAATGTGGCAGATTTCAGGGATGCAGGTGGATCCTTAACCGAGGTCAAAGTGGAAGAAGAAGAAAGGGACCCCCAGAGTCCTGAAGTAAGTATTAGCTGTGACATTTTATGCCTGTGTGTGTATGTATAAATATATAATTCTTGATTGTTTCAGTAATATCTGGCAATTCAATGTAAAAGGTTTTCACAATTCAAATTAAATGGTTTTATGTGTTTAAACAATACAGAAGGTCTTTTAAGAGCAATTTGAACAAATTGGCAACTATGAAGTAGAAATAACATTGAAAATGATTTTCTCTTTTCTCAGTTTGAGATTGAGGAGGAGGAGGAAATGCTGTCATCTGTCATACCAGATTCCAGGAGGGAAAATGAACTTCCTGACTTCCCCCACATTGATGAGTTTTTCACCCTTAACTCAACACCATCCAGGTCTGCATATGATGAGCCCCACTTGCTTGTAAACATAGAGAAACAGAAACTAGAGTTGGAAAAGCGGCGACTAGATATTGAGGCGGAAAGGCTGCAGGTGGAAAAGGAGCGCCTACAGATAGAGAAGGAGAGGTTGCGCCATTTAGACATGGAGCATGAGCGGCTGCAGCTAGAGAAGGAGCGGCTGCAGATTGAGAGAGAAAAATTGAGGTTACAGATAGTCAATTCTGAGAAACCATCTCTGGAAAATGAACTTGGCCAAGGAGAAAAGTCCATGCTTCAGCCACAGGACATAGAAACAGAGAAGTTAAAACTTGAGCGAGAACGCTTGCAGCTGGAAAAAGATAGGCTGCAGTTTTTGAAGTTTGAATCTGAGAAGCTACAGATTGAAAAGGAACGCCTACAAGTGGAGAAAGAGAGACTTAGAATTCAGAAGGAAGGACACTTGCAGTGATTTCTTTAGGTGGCCATTTAGTGACTGTTAGTAGACTAGGTTTTTCTCATACCAGGTGATATAAAGGTGATTTCTGGATTAGCTTTTTTTTTTTTTTTTAATTACCTAATGCCAGTGTTTTCAGTAGGAAAAAGATAGATACGTGTGGGTGATTATATGCTTGAATAGTATATTATATAAAAATCTCTGTGCCCTAGTATAAACACAATAGCAGAAATTATTGTGCTAGACTCTTCACATTAGTAATATTATATAGAGTCTTGTATTATCTGTGCACTCAGAGTTTACAATTATGTCTGTTAAATTCTAACCCAGTGGTTCTAAACTAGGGCTGATTTTGGCCCCCAGAAGACATTTGACAATGTCTGGAGACATTTTTGTCAAAACCGGTATGGGATGGCAAGTTGCTACACCGGCTAATATGTAAAGCCCAGGGATCCTGCTGAACATCTATAATGCATAAGGTGCACAGTTAAGAATTTGCAAACCCAAAATGTCATTCATGCCAGGTTTAAAAAACCATATCCTAGCCCAACTAAGCCCCTCTGTAATGTTTTAGAATATTAAAAACCTCAAATTATGTAGGTAGATACTTAAATTGCCAAAAACTTTGAACTATGAAACATGACTGTAGTATATTGAATATAGGAAGTGATGAAGATTATAGGTATTTTATCTCCATGTTTTCATCTATAATAGCCTGATATTCAGAAAACGACAGGGAACTCAGAGATTGTCTAAAATTGGCCACTTTGAAACAAAGTTCATTCGTCTATTGATGCTTTAGAAGCAACATACAACTTGAAAACTTTGGTTCCCTTTCCTCTTTGAATCTGTTGTCTCAGTTTGAATATAAAAATTGTCATTTTAATCATGTACTGAAGTGTTATGTAAGAGAATGATAGAAGCTAGTAAAAATGTTACCAGTGTAAAAGTGGTACCAAACAATCTGTGAGCTTGGACCCAGAACATGGTTGCTTGACTTTTAAATAAAGACTGTTTGGGAGTAGGAAGTGGGGAGAATTTCATGTGTATCAAATAATGATGATGATGTTAAAATAATGAAATAATGATAATAGCTGAGTGTTATTGGTGGGGAAAGCACTAACACAAAATTTGACCTAACCTGTACAACATTCGTGAGAATAGTGCTGTTATTCCTGAATCTGAAGCTCATAGAAGACACAGTGAGCAAATGACTGTTTTTTGTTTTTGTTTTTTTTACATTGTAGAATGTTTTGTCTTTGCCCCTCTGCGAGAAGCAAAGTTTGTACCCTCAGTCTCTTTGCTGCTCTGAGGCAAAGAGCTTGCTTAACCTGGTAATTTGCCTTCAGTTTCCTGAAGGTACTTTTTCCACAGTCAAGATGAGGCTGATATACACTGAAGTTGAAAATGGCTGCACAAGTTCACTTTGTGTTTTCTGATTTCCAGGGCTGATAAGTAGCTTTAATACATACTCTTCTATTGGCATACTACCTTGATTCTGTGTTTGTTTCTTATTAAGAACAGCTTGAAATCATGTTGACATTGAGTATGGGTATGCAAGAGAAAAATATACTTCTGCTTACTTACCCTGATTTGAAATAGTGTTATTTTTCTATAACTATAATAAATGCTTCTACCATAGAAATAAATTTGCCTATCTATTTGTCTGAAAGTTTATCATTTCAAGTGATGCTCAGTGCTCATGGGTAGTGGTTAACAAGCTTGGGAGAGATCCCTATCATGGTGAATGGGGGCAAGAGCCTAACATTCATGCTAGGCTTGGAGCTATGTGTCACATAATTATCTCTTTGCCCCTCAAAACAACCCTTAAGCTAAGTCATGTTATCTTCATTTTTATAAGAAAAGAAATAAACTTCCTAGATTCAATTAACTAAATGCCTAAAAATTATATGCCAATACGGACCCAAAAATTTAGCATAAGATCTCCCAGGAGAAGTAGTGAATATATAAGTGTAATCATACTGTAGCTTTGCCATTTGCTATTGTGAACGTTATTTAACTTGCCCTTCCACTTGATTTCCTTGCTTGTAAAATGAGTATAATGCTACCTTATCTGCTAGAGCTCCATAGTTTGTTTTATTTAAAGAAAATGGTGTGTGCAAGTATATAAACCATAAAATGGTGACTAAGTGTGAGATTATGTTAGTATTGGATTTGAGATCAGAAGATTTTAATTTCCTAGGGAGAATATGAATATAGGCAGTTATTAATTTTGGATGTAACATCCTAAAGTTTCTTAACTCTGCCCAGTGCAAATGGGCAGAGTTAAGAATGTTATTCCCACATTTATGAGGTGGTCAGCACACTTGAGTAAGTAGTGTTTGTTAACTATTGCTGTGCAAGAAACCAAAATTGGGTAGCTAGAAACAATAGCTGTTTTGCTTATGATTTTAGAGAAAACTGGAGTGAATGTAGCTGGGCCATTTTGATCTTCACTGGGTTCCCCTGTCAGCTGCAGGTGAACTGAGAGTTCAGTTTCTGGGAGTTAACTGGATATTGGAACTGAGTTTTGTTGGGGCTGAGCTCTCCTCATGGTACTTGATCCTCAAGATAGGCTATCTTGGCCTTGCTCCATTGTGGGTGGTACTTGTCCAAGACAAGAGGTGCTCAAAGTATTGAGGGTCCTAGTCTCAGAACGGGCACTGAATTATACTCCTGTTGTGTTCTTTTGGCCAAATTAATTATAGTCCCGAATTAAGAAGTGGGAATGGAGTTTATTTCTTGAATTGAGGAAATGTGAAGTTCCTTGAAAGATAGGGATACAGAGCTGGGTGAGATATTGTGACCACTTTTGCAATCAGTCTGCCATACCTCCATTCTGGCTGGCCTGGGATACTCCTGATTGTATCAGTGACCCCTGGGTCTCATTTAGCATTTGTCCTAGACAAAAATGTCCTGGTAAATACTCTGAATTACCATCCTGGTCACAAGGAACTTCTTCCCATCCTTTTTGTGATCATGCTGATTTAGAAGAGAGAAGGAGCAATAAATTTGCAGAAAAAGAGCATTCTCTTAGGCTTTTCCTCTCAATTAAACCCTGTAGTCTCTGTAATTGAAGAGAACTGCTTCACTTCTTCCATTTTCAGATTTGTCCATTTTATATTATTCTGGTTCTCTCTCACTTTTGTACCTGTTCATGCTTTGCCACTTCTATCCTGTGTATAAAAGCATATTATAATGCTTCCAGAATATTTTATTGTGAGTTAATAATTACCTTTTCCTATTTCTCTGCCCTTAACATACTTTGTTTTGAATGCAAAATGATTCTTACTGTGTTATTCTGCATTTGCTTTAACAACATACTTTTTCAATAATAATCTTATTTTTTAATTTTTTTATTTTTCAGGGCCTTTTCTTATTTCACATCTGAAGTTTTAACTTCTAAAGCTCTCAGAATCCTAACAACCTGTTTTCTTTTTCAGCCTTTAACTTCTCTTTCTCATGTGTTCATGCTTTTATATACACACCAGGCAGTGTTTTGCATAGTGCCTTAATTAAAATCCAGTTGAGGATTATCTGTCAACTGTATCTCTGAAAATCTCCCTTAATGCATTTCAAAAGGGATTTAGCCTATGTATAGCTGGAAGACAGCTGGAGAAGAACATATCCTCTTGGGAAAAAAATAGGCAAATTGGTTGCTTAAACCTCAGAAGATTTATTTACCACTGAGGATAGAAGCATTGAGACTATACTGTTAATGCTTTAGGATGAAATTAAGAAATGACAATAATTATAGAATTTTAAATTGTGAAATATTTTGAGATTTTGAAAATCTCAATGATTTTCATCAGTAAAATACCCTTTATTATTTACCACTTATTTTTATGCTGTAAATTATCTTTTTAAAAATAAATTGGAATATGAAGTCCTCTAAAATCAATTCAGATTTAAATCTCCATTTCCAACATTTGAACTGAACTATAAACCTGTATATCCAATTTTTACAAGCACCTTACCCTATATTTTGCTGTTTTTTTCAAATATATTATGGATGTCAGAACTGAATTCATTAGCTTCTTTCTCTAATGAATCCTTTTTTGCTCTGCAGTGGTGCTGTTTATTTGTACCTGGTTGTTTGGAAATTTTAAAGTTTTCTTCAAATCCCTTGCTTCCTCCTTCTTCTCAAATTGTTGCTCAAATTCTTTCTTTCCTTCAAGTAATTGCTCAGATCAGCCTCCTCCAAGCTCACATGTTTTTAGTGTGGAGGCATCTTCAGCCTGTATTCCAGTAGCCTCCTCAGTTTTTTCTGATGAATCCTCCTGCATGACACTTTCAGAACAGATTTCCCAGAATATGGTTCTTTGATGTCCTGAGACTTGACAGGATATAAAGTGGTGGAAGAGAAGCAGAGCTCAGGAAATACCTTAGGCTAGTCCCAGCTCTGCTTCATCTTCTGGGTGGTATTAGGCAATCAAGTCTCTGAGCCTCACTGTTCTTGTCTGTTACATACGTATTAGTTCCTTACCCAACTCTCACCATGTTTGGGATGACGATACACAAGAATGTAGTTTAAAATTAATAAGCAACTTAGAAAATAATTGACTATAATTAAGAGAGGTAGATCACATCAGTATAAAATACATACAGAAATAAATACTGTTTTTATACCCTCCACTATCATAGGTGTGGAAGCATACAGAGGAAAATTTACTCCATATTTTAACTCATAGGTTTTCTGTGTGTAATTTTCTAATACAAAGCCTCAACCATGCTCTCTATTTTCACCAGTTATTTGTTTTAACATTGTTATGGTTTGGAAATGGGATGACACCCCTCTCCCCAAACTCACATGTGAGACAATGTAGGATTGTTTAGAGGTGATATAATTAGATTATGAAAACTAACCTAATCAGTAGATTAACCCATTTTATGGGTTAATAATTTGAATAGATTGATGGCTGGTCACTATAGGCAGGTAGGGTGTGGCTGAAGGAAGTAAGTGACTAAAGAATATTGTGGGGTTTATATGTTGTCCCTTGTAAGTAGGGACAACTTACAAGGGACAACATATAAACTCAGCTTCCTTACTGTCATGTCCTGAGTTTTTCCTCCACCAAGATGCTCACCTCATCTTTGGGCCAGAACAATGGAGTCAGCCAACCAAATTGAACCTCTGAAACTGATCAAAAATAAACATTTCCTCTAAGTTGTTCTTGTTGTGTCTTTTGGTAACAACAACAACAAACCCTGACAAATACATTATTGAAAAGCCTAATTAATTAATTAAGCAGCTTGAGGTATTACAGATTTATCACCCCTAAAGAATCTCTCTCATTCCATTGGGCATAAAATGTAAAATCTGTAAAAGGAACTGTAGAGGCATAGATACTCAAACTTGGAACCGAACATAAGAAATAATACATTAGAAACATGACAGCCTGGCTGGTGGCCACTGAGGAAAAGAGGAATGTAGGCACAGAATTTAAAAATGATCATTTTGGCTTGGGGGAGCCTCTGTATTAGAGAGGGAAGCTGATTTGAATAAGCACAGAGTTGGTAGTGGGAGGGGTTCAGTTAAACTAACTGAATTTTTTGGTTTGATTTGTTTTTGGGTTCCTCTGTATGGGGCACAGGATTCAGTGGGAACAGATCCTGATGTGGAAATTGACCACAGGCATGGCAGTCAGCAGAGACAAATCAGGATCACATAGCCAGCAGTCACAGTTTATGACTTGTGAAGTGCACCTGAACCTGATTGAAATAGCCAAACAAAAAAATTATACTTGACTCGAGTGTGTGTGTGTGTGTGTGCTCTAGATGCACCAACAGGCTTGGAAAAATACATATACATTTATATAAATTGACCTTCACATTAATAGTTTGGATTTGACTTCGGTTGCATATAATTATATGGGAGTTCAAGTAGTTTTAATCTCACATTTGTGGGTTTGTTTATACCTTGGTTCCTGTCCCACCTATCTCCTATTTTTTATTCTCTTTCCCCACTAACAGCCACATTTTCCTGTTCCCTCTCCTCTTTTATTCATTACTTTCAGTTAATTATTTCTTGTTTACATTCAACATCTGCTACTTAACTCCTATCTCTCCTCTGATAATTTTCCAAAATATTTCAAACTCTCACCTTCCTACCCCATTTTCTCTTACTTAAAAAATAGTAATCCCACTAAGTAACAGGACTAAATAGTTTATGCAATTCCTACCCCATTCATGGTGTTGTAATTATGGATACAGTGGATGACCTAGTAGACACCTGATTTGGTTCACAGTTTTTTATTCTTGGTGTTGATGCTAAATGCTAACCTTACCATTCCTATATAAATGACAATTAGTGTTAAAGTAGACACTGGATGTGTATATTAAGGTTGTACATCTGTTGCTCACATTAATGCTATCCTTGGTTCCCCCTCTAAGAAGGGATGGAAAATGATTGGAATACTTCAAGATCATAGAGTAGAGCTCGTGCTATTGAGAAATACAACTCAGCAAAACAATTGTGTGTTTCACCCCACACATAATCTAGCTCCACCTAAACCTTACCATTGCTTCAACTCTTAGAAATGGGGAGGCAAAAACCTCAAAACAACCAGGTCCCAAGGAAGAACAACCAGAGCGAGACCTCAGGTTCTACCCTTAACATCTACTCACATATCAAAAACAGAAG